ATATTCAGCCAATCGCTTTAGACAAAAGTTGTTGCAAATTCTCATTGATTCATTATAATAGACTCCTGGAAATGGCGCAAGCACGAAAAAGCACACTACAATTTACGCATCAGTTGAAGGAGAAAAAAAATCGAGAGATTATACTTGCGTGACCAACTCTTCACGCTTCATCATTAAATTTTCCGGCATGAATAATGAGGTAGATGCCTGTCACTTCAAGGCCACCGATCGATAAGGACTGTTTTCCTAGTAGGATATTAAGAATTCAGGAAATTTGCCTTTCACCCTAGTTGGAAGGTGAGGAGCTAATTTTCTTCAATAGAAAATTGTTGGTTTATACTGCCCACTCAATTTTTCTCATTCAAGTCAATATTAAATGTTACTCTACCCCTCTCCCTCCCTCCCTTTTAGGGCATTCTGAGAGTAAAAAAAAAGCTAAAAGATTTTCACAAAATTCCATTGAAATTCTACACACGAGATATGGAAGGATAGATTTAATGTCGATTCGCAAAAAGTCATGATCAGATAAGGTTTAGCTTGACATTAAAGGCTAGTTTTCTTGAAATCGAATACTTTTGTTTCTCAATGTTCTCCAAGACATATTTAACCTTAGATACTTCAATTAATAGAATCTAACTTTCTAATCTCTTAGTGAAAAATTGCTTCTAGTGTCTATTTTCAGAAAGTATGGACGCATAGTCCATAAATCGTTTCGATTTCATTGTATGCAGCCTCGAAAATAAGATGAATTTACTGTTCATAAGCACTAAAAGAAGTCTTTGCTCCCAATCGCATAATTTTTGCAAAGTTTTAACTAATTTTGTCACTGATTGATAGTAAAACAGTATACGGAACCGATGCGTTAGTGCTAATTAAAATTGTCCACACGTTTGATTAATAAATATCAAGTATTACCCTTCAACCAAATGCCTTCCAGAATTTATACAAAAAAAATAATTGCAAAGTTAAGAATATTGACTTGTCAGGTGTTTGGAGGCTTCATCTGTCAGAACTGAAATTGTTTACGACTTTGAGAGCGTAAAAAATACAGAGTTTAGGACAGATGAATAGTGCTATCAGATTGTAAGGTGTATTTAAGTACATTTAAACGAGTCCTATTTTGCAAATCAAGAAGACAAATAAATAACAATTTTTGTTTGACGTCATGCCAAGTTAAGCTTTAATGGAATGGAAGGAAGCTCACGTATTTGAGTGAAAAAAGGTGTATAGGAAATGGGAGGCGTTGCTTGCAACCAGAATTGAATTTTTTAACATTAAATGTATATATATTAAAATAATATATAATAACGTTCTTACTTTTCATAAAAGTAAATTTCTGTAAGAATTACTAAATTTCCCAGGTAAAAAATTAGTTTAATGGTTTATGAGTGCCATTCGTGAGATGCGAGATCATTGCACATATTACCAACAGTTGGCAATTTAAATTAAAACCAATTCATTGTAATAGAACCGTAATTGAAAAAAATTTGCAATATTTCAGAGCTCAATAGGTAGAGTCGAATATACTATCCGTTTACATTTCAAATCATTCATGGCGATTAATGCAATTCTCCCAAACGCAATTTTATTGCAAATCGAAAAATTCAATTCCCTAAAATCGATATTTAAGCCAAACCAGGTGTTCATCTCCCATAAAACATAAGGTAGCATGCAAGCGAATATAAGCCTTTTTGTAATAGTATCAATTTCATCTTTTCCAATAGGCATTTTCGGCTTGAATTTTAGACACTGAAGTAAACACATACCTAGGCAAAAATACAAAAGATGGTTTGCAGCCGGTGGCAATAAGCACACATTTTAACTAAATAGTGCCCAATTCTTTGTGCCATCTTACAATGAATGCATCTGAGAGTGCAAATTATTGCTTAGTTACCAACTGAAGCAATACAAAATACCATAACAACAATGGGCTAAAAATGGCATGTTATTCTTGACCTTAATTTTGGCAATAAAATTCAGTTGTAAATGGCAGCATTTTAGCGCAAATACCCCATTTAGGGAGGCTCGAATTCCCAATTCTATTTGCAATATTCATTCCCTCGCCTATTCTAATATTGATTTTTTCATTCATCAATTCTGTTTTACCATTTAAAACTCCTTAATGGCAAATTCTTAAATTTATTTCTTTGCAATAAGTGTGCTTGAATATTCTCAATCTTCTCTTGACGCCACACTTGAAACTGCATGCCTTAGGTGTGGATGAGACTTCTTGACGGTCGTTGTAGCGATCTAAGCACACAGTTCTATAACAATGCATCACTATTTTGGACCTTATTCAACTGACTTGCCGCCTCTTTGTTGTGGTTTTAAGAAATCACCCAACTGCAGATATTGTGATGAAGTACTTTTCGTTGGTGTAGAAAATTTAGGTGAAACAGTGCCTCGTATATGTATATCATTCTTATTAGCCTTTTCAAAAGTGGATCGATGGAATAAAAGATAGAAAATGCAATAAGTGCACTCTGGAAGAGCCTGAACAAACCCCGACCGTGCATACCAACAAAAAATTGTGGTAGAGAATAAGCCAAGCTCAAAAACAGGCAGTGGGCATAAGCTCAAAGAACGGGGTAAAAAAAGAATTTTGACAGAAAAATAACCTAAGAGGAGAAGTGAGATGTAGAGTGCGATAATCGGAGGATGTAAAGAACAGAAGCGCAGGCAACCGGAAGGGTGAGAGGCAAAACCCTTGTGATGTCAAAACGCAGCCTACAGCTCCCATCCGCAGAGATAAGATCAAACCCGTGAGAGTTTTGAGCAGAAAACATTTGAAATTATAGTTCCTTATTTCCTTTCTAAAGGGCAATATATTTCGCAAATGGTTAATAGAATTAGCTTGCTAAAGAATATCGACCTTCGGTGTTGGGACATATATATATATATATATTGCGGTGCGCAATAGACTTACCTCCACGTGGTGCACCCTGGGCAACGTATAATCATACGGCAAAAAGTCTATCAAACCGGCCATTGACTTCTGACTTCAAACTACTATTTGTCATGTTCGACCCCTTTCACAGTACTCATCTTACCTTTTTTAGGCCTTTGTGTCTGTCTGTCTGTCTGTCTCTTTTACATCTGTGAATCACTCTTCTGTTCCCCCTCTCGACTTTTTGTCACCTTGATGTTCCTTCTCCTCTCTGTGAAGCCCCGAAGTCAACTTCAGGGCTGATGATAACTATTAAAACGCCTGCCATTTGATATAAATAAATGAATATAAGAAAAATTGTGGCTATGAATGTATTGTCTTGCCAAAAAAGATGGATGTTTCCTATCTAACCCTTTGAAAGGTGCTCAGGCGCATAAGCTCTTCATTTTTGAGCTCATCTCTAGACAAATAAGGACAGAACGCCTTTATAATTTAAGCATTTAACCCTTCATTTAGGATGAAGACAACACGACATCGGTTTCTACCTTCTCTCGGTGGCAAGATCAAAATGAAGGCATCTACATGATTCCATGGCTCAAATGATGTAGGTTTAGGCATCGAGCGTGGAGTGCAGTATATTATTAATTATCATTATCAAATCTTAAAAAAATGGAAATTTATTTTTCAAAAAATAAAACTCAGGCGCTTCGAAAGCTATCATTGGCACTTTAGTTGACTTCGGGCTTTACGGAGCGGAGAAGCATCAAGGTGAGAAAAAGTGGAGAGGTGGGGGGGGGGGGGGTACAGAAAGCCTATTAACAGATATAAGAAAGACAGATACCAAGGTAGAGAAAAAGGTAAGGTGAGATGAGTAGTGTGGATGTGGTGGAATGACATACAGTGGGGTCATGGTAATTTGAAGCCAAAAGTCAACTGTCGGTTAATAGACTTTTTTGCCTTATGAATATACGCTGCCCAGGGTGCACCACGTGGAAGTAAGTCTATGGCACACCCCAACTAAGACTAATATATATATATCACTTTATTCTAAGTCCAATGACGTCAAAATTGAGTCAGTAGATTAAAAAATTCTATTTTAAATCAATATCGGGAACATTGAGTTGTGCAAATTTTCTCCAAGTTCTTAATTCGTATTGAGGTGGCGTAGAACTGGAAATTTTTAATTTTACTTCCATCTAAACAAGGGTCAAGTTATTGCAAGGATTTCGAGATCAATGAATTAATTTTCGCTTCCAGTTCAACGCTTGTTTTTTTCAAATCGATCTTACAGAGTAATAAATTCGCTTCTACTTTTAATTTACTTTAATTTTACCTTTAAAGTGCAATCTTTAAGTCAAAATTTTACGATTCGTATTAAAAAGTTTTATTTCCTCTCAAACGCCTTTGTTGGCATGCACTTCAAACTGAGTCAATGCATCAAATAATAAAATAATACATTGCATCATTGGAAATAAAGATGGTTTAAGTAATTTTTGCATTTGTTGTTGTTTTTTTTAAAATAAAAGATTGTCATGATCATGTGTCTCATACATAAACCGTTATATTTGCCTCCCACTCTTTTGCAATTTCATCTTCCTGCATGATCTTTTCACCTCATGTTGCTTCTTTTCTGTAATCCCTTAAACCGATTGTTTCCCACCCCACCTCCCACTCTTCCTTTAGTCCATGCGTGACAATGCGACTTCAAATCGGCCAGCAAATGCGCAAATTTAGATGCACGCCGCACTACACGCTAGCCTGAGCACTGTTCTCAGGTAAGGGGGAGGAGGGTGGAGGGGGTTGAAGTGAGAGGCTGAAATTCTGGAAAGGGGGTGTAGTAAGGTTAAAGGGGGGGGGGGGGTAGGTGTATATATGATTTCCCTTCCTCCACTCCTCCATACCTTGGGCCTCTATAGCTCAATGCGCTAACGCAAACCCCCGCACATAGACATACAATAGGCTGAGAATAGGCAAAGGAAGGAATAGAGACTCTCTTGTTTGTGCTAAGGCCACTTGTACGCTCTTCTCCTCTCCATTCTCTCGTGAATTATATTAAGAGGACGACAACGACGACCACTATTGTACTCGTATACTCGCATTGTATTGTGATAATATGTGGGACTGTGAATCACCTAGTATCTACGGTTACGGTCCAAACGTCACTGCGAGCACTCCGTCCTTCCATGACTCGGCAATTAAGCCAGTTATAAATCTTGGAGGGGAAACGAGTTGCTTACAAGGATCTGGTGAAGGGTATGCTGGAACCGCCAATTCCCTGGCAAACTTTTGCACGAATATCACGGAGACCGATGATACGTTAAAGCAAGTTCGAGGCGGCGGATTCCTGGCTGAATTTGAGAGGGAGGATGATGAGGAAACGAAGATTGGAAGTGCGGAAGGAATAGGCGGTGGTGGTTGTTCGTGTAGTACCAGTGGAGATATTAGTCCTCTTGGAGATCCTGGAAAGGGGTATTTGACTGTCAAAGGAAATCACCCAATGGACAGTATAGCAAACGGAAATTCTTCTGCATTATGGGTAAGTCTCATTTATTAACTGGAATTTATCGCATGATTTCACTCGAAGCTCGTTACATCTACCTAAGAATTTCTTTATGGTTAAAGCGTATTGTTCTAATGTCTGATTTTATAATTGCATTATTTGGTAGCTTTATTAAAAATCCGAAATGTGAATACTTAAAAAATGAAAATCTTGAATGTCATCGTGATATTTAATTGTAATAAAATGTGTTCATTTTCGTGAAAGGCATTATCTTCTTTCATATCATTTACTATTTGTCTAAATGCATTGGAGTATAAAATTAAAATGTTCAAAATTGTAGATTTGGAAGATATTTGCCTTTTATTGATATTTTTGAGGTCATACAACGCTACAAGAGCATGACGAATGTCTCAGAGACCGAAAGCAGATCAGATGAAGGACACGCATGATCCACTTTATTGATCATTTTGAATAATGTTGAAGCAGTTATCTTTTCCCCACATATTGATTTGTCATATCTCATGCGGTGTTAAGATAATTCTCGCAATAAAATGGTCATTTTTGTACTATCGTAGAAAATAATAGCAACGCGAACTACACTGACTTTCTCCCATTCTATTTACCGAAAGCACGATTTCTAAAGTGAACTCGCATTGAGAAGAACCACTCCAAATGATTTAATAACAAAGCATCGGAAGTTTAATTTATTTCTCCTCAATAGCAGATATTACTAAGCAGTAAATGGCGGAGTTGGAGTTATTTCTCACCTAGTGCCATAATTGTGATGCTGTCATGCCTTTTAATTGCATTTTAATGTTGCGATAGAAACTATAGTCCATGTAGATGTGCTTGCTCATCTCACGGCATCTTTATAAAAGTATAGTTTTTTAAGTACCCATCATAATATTCCAATTTCCATAATATAATAAATTGAAGACTGGCCATGAATCGAAGCCGTTGCTGAGTTTAGACTACGTACCGGACAAGATTGCCTGGCAAAACACCTTCGCAGATTGGGAGTATACACTGGCCTCACAAATTGGGATTATACACTCAACCCACATGCCCTCCATGTAACGCAGATTGGGAGTATACGCTCAACCAAAATGCCCCCTATGTAACCTACAGGAGGAAATGGAGAAGACCCACCTGATTCGGTGTCCAGCCCTAAAGACAATGACGGAAAGCCAGAGATACTGGGAAGCAAGAAGACAGCTAATGAACTGCTATTAATTGACTACTATAAATGTACCCTCCACCCATGGGGGAAGCTGAAGTCAAAGTTTAAAGGCTAATGATAAATATCATAAATCCTGCCATTTGAAATAATAATATATGTACCTCCCTCCCCCCCCCCCAATCATGGGGAAAGCTGAAGTCATCTAAAGGGCTAATGGTAAATATCATAGAGCCTGTCATTTGAAATAAAAATAATAATAATAATATCTATAATATTAATAATTTATTTCTAGGAGAAAATATTTTACTACTCAAAAACATATATTAGTAGTGTGTAATGCATTCAAGAACTATCAAGTTATGCAAACAGCAAATAATAGGGTGTTGGTTACCAAATTCGAGATGGGATGGGTGGACAATACCAGAACTTGAACATTCATTAACATTCTTCACACCCTTTTAACCTAAAACAATTTAACCGTCAAAATGGAAATTTTGGTATTGTCAAAATGACATAGATAGGACCCCAAGTTAATTTGTTCGACCATCTTTCTTTGTTTATATACCCGATTTCTGCATGAATGACTGGATTCGTTTTAACTGCAGCATATTTTGGCCTATTTAACTTTCAAGTTCCACCACTATTTTTGCCAAAAAAAAGGTAAATAATTTATGCAAAATATGCGTCATTATTAATTTAAATTATCGGTAACTTGCAAACGTAATGCTTTAAAATGGGAAGAATTTCTGGAAGAGATCAGGTTTAATGACAGAATATTACTTCACTTTAGGCAATCTTCTTCCACTTCCCCTACATCCTGAAACAGAAGAAAAGAAAAGAATTTGAAGAAAAAAACTTAATTTAAATGTACAAATGATTCATTCCATAGTAGGGGG